AATATCAAAATCCATGATTACAGTCTTGTGGCTGGGTTAATTTTACAACTTTCATGTCTCAAATTTTTTTCGGTATCCTAAAAGCTGTAGAAGTGACAGCTCTTCCCGTTAACCTTCCAGGCGGTGGGGGGCATTTTTTGCCCCCCCCCCTCTTTAATTTTTTTTAATATATCTCGAGAACCGCTACGCCGATCGTCACCAAACTTTCAGTACCCTCCCGGGAGCAGCTAGCGCACATGGTGACCAAATTTGTTTCCAAAGGCTATGATAGGTTGGCCGCTAATGACGTCAGAGTGACGTCATTTTTGCCATTTTCGACCCAAAAAAAGTTTTCGCGGGAAGAGCTGTCAGGCCTACAGCCTTAGAGATACAGAAAAATGTTTCAGACATAAAAAGTGTGGAATTAAAAGGGCTACAAGACTGCTATTTCGGTTTTTCGAATTTTTTTGGATTTTGACCCCCAAAAATCAAAAAAATAGATTTTTTGAATATAATAGCCGAAAAAAAAACAAAAAAAAATGAATTTCGAAAAAAACGGAATATTTGTGATAGTCCCTACCGCCTTCTATCTGCATACAAATTTGAGATCGATATCTCTTTTTTTTTGGCCACGTTATAGCGAAAAAACTGTTCAAAATTGATGACGTCAAATTTTCAAACTCAATTTTTAGCAATTCTAGACCTCGTAGCGCAAAACAAAGACCACCATTAGACTCCCCGTTACGAGCTGCATCGAATCAATACCCATTTTATGCAAAAATATCAACTTTGAAATTTGACCTTTTTTGACCTGACCTTGACCTGACCTCCACCAGAAAGTGACCTAAACCGTACCTGATGGTCTTATAACCAACACCATTGAGTTGGAAATGAAAAACTGGCCATAAAACATGCATCGCATAACCTTAGTAAAGTTGGGCTCATGTGGTGACCCTTGGTGACCTTTGGTGACCTGACCTGTGACCTGACCTGGTATGACCAGTGACCTCTGATAGCAACATATGTACTAGACAACCGACGCCTTATCGCTGATTTTCGACAAAATGCGTTTTACTCGGTGTTATAGCGCTTTCCCTAGAAGCCCCGTGAACGGTGAAACATTTTATCTTTGACCTGACCTGTGACGTCATCGGTAACCCCGAGGTCAATGAAATTTGGTTTCCATCGACAAATTTGACAGGGCTATCGAACGCGGTTTGAATTTTCCGGATCCGTCTAGTAGTTTCGGAGATACGGGGGGGGGCAAAAAATGCCCCCCCCCCCCCCCACCGCGCGAAAGGTGGCTGGTAGGCCCACCGCCTGCCGGGTTAAACTTTTTTTGGGTCGAAAATGGCAGAACATGACGCCATTCTGACGTCATTTGTGGCCAACCAATCATAGCCTCGGGGCTATGACCGAGACACCGTCTGTGAGAATCATAGCCTCACAATTTTGGGCACAAGGTGTAAAAGGAGAGGTCCTGAACGTTTTTTTTATAAATTTAGTCCGAATCTTTTGATGGGAAGGATTCACAAGGACAGAGCCACCGCTAAGCGAAGCTTGTTGCGATGACCCTGCCCTCTACCCTCCGATCGCGCAATTCCGATTCTATGGCAGAATTTAGAGTCCAAAGTTTAACGTGCGCACAAAGCCGCGCACGGCCCGTCCCCTCGCTGACTTCGCCTGGCTACGGCCTGCCACCAACCGCAACCATACCTGTCAGGAGGCCCATAAATGTCGAGCGCCCGTCGCGCTTCGAACCCGGACTGTCATAACCGGGAACGCGTGCTCTCACCACGCGGAGTCCAACGCTCTAACCAACTGAGCTACGGGACCGGCAAAAGTGGGGATATCGTTTATACGTTTAGTGGCGATATCTACAGAATTTTAGGAGACATCGACAGAAATGGAGAGGAAGCCGTTTGCCCCCCCCCCCCCCCATACGGGGCGCGAGTTAATGGGACGACCATCACAGGGCACAGCGTGACAAAGCTGCAGGCGAGCTGAATAAAATCGTCAGCACACAGTAGCCGTTTTCACGACACGGCTATCTGGCAAATATTTTGTTACATTTGGTGTGTTTGGTTAATTTAGTTCCATAACTTTTCTTAGAAGGTTTTTAGCTGCGGTAGCGAATTGGTTTTCTATGTAAGTACATACGCCGAGAGGGGGAATGCGCCAACTTCACCGATTCCCCCCCAATTGAGCTAAAGGCTAGTGGGGAAAAAGGTGTACGTCGTTACAAGACATAGCAGCTGGTGCCCGATTTTAAGGTCTCATGTCAAGGTCATTAGTTCAGGTCAAGTGCCCAATTCCCAAAGGAATTGATCTGGTTTTCGTGACTATGCAACTTCGCAAGGAAGCATCGCAGAGGCGCGAGTTGGGCACCATCGTGCCATTTTTCGGCACCATCGGCATTATGCACCACTAGTGCGTTGGATTATATACTTTTGTTTAGGCGAGGTCAACTTAGGATGTTGACCCCAGGTCAGGGTCAAGTCAAAGTCACTTAGGTCACGAAGCTGGTCGAAGGATGGCATATCACATATCATTCGAGTTGGCATGGGTCCATTGGTGACTTTCCCGACCCGCGTACCTACTCAGTTTGATCGTGACTTATTGACGACAAACTTCGATAAATTTAGTGACATGCATATGACGTCAAGCAAGATCACCAACCCAAACAGTAAGCATGACGACCTTTCGGAAATATCCGAAATATTTAAGTTGTGAGACCTTGGAAACACTGAGTCTCAATTTTCATCTCCCTGTGCAAGGCCCTTTGGCACTGAGGGCGTTGCGAAGTTAAGACATTTTTTTATTGTTATCACCGTGCAGAGGTTTGCTCATGACGTCCCACGTCAGTGACCTAAAATCGCGGTTGGCATCACAAAAACCTGCTCTGATCAAAGATCAGATGAGCCAGCTTGCAGTACTCTATCGCCAGCGCGTTCTGGGCAATCATGAAAAACCGTCAGGGGCGGCACTTGTCCTCCCCCCCCTCCCCGGCCTGCCAGGGTTAACCCGCGCCCGGCTGGGGGTCCTGGATTTCCACGCCCTGCTGGGGGGGGGGGTGTTTGAACACCCCCCCCCCCCTTCTAACTTGGCTCCTGGGCCACGTAGCGATACGCGGAAGGCGGCGTTCGTAAGAGCGTAAAAAATAATGAGGAAATCACTTCGGCCAATTTTTTGGTCAGGTCAAAGGTCAGGTCACCAGAGGTCATTGAAGGCAAAATTTCGCCGATTTCCAGGTCGAATGTCGACAATTTCCAAGAAGCTAACGCATAGCTCGGGAACCAATAGAGCTACAGCGCCGCAGAAAAGCGCATTCGATAGCCCTATTAACGCCCTTTCTAAGTAATTTTCTCAGATTTGACCTACCGTCAACGGTTTTGCCTGCAGGGGGCAAAAACTGCAAAAATAGCCGATTTTTTCGCAAACAGTTTTTCTGCAATAACTTTTGATCCAAGCCTTGTACGAGCTTACTTTTACCAGCATCGTGTTCCTCTCGTCAAGACGCATCGAATGAACTATAACTTGACCTTGAAAGATCAACTTGAAAATTTGACCTCAGGTCAAGGTCATGACCTGACCGGAAATGGTCATGTTGCATATCAGTCGATCCGTATCGTCGAGCTGAACACATCTAAGGCGTTTTCATCGCTCTAGCATGCCTCTATCAAAAGTTATTTGTGAAAAACTGTTAGATACCATTCGTGACCTAAGATGACCTCAGGGCATAAACAGGGGTCACGGACACCATTTCCATGTTCAGTGTGTCCAAACCACTTGTAATTCAGTGTTTGGGAGTGTTTATAATGTCTTTCGTCCAAAAGAGGCGCATTTCAATTTTCTCCCATTGACTTATAATGGGGAGGTCGCAAAATTGACCTGACCTTAGGTCATCGATATCAAAATTCTGAGATAAACATTTTGTACATGCTATTGCTCTTAGCAATCGCTGAAAGTTTCAAAGCGATCGGTCACTCGGTGTAGCTATGACAGACATTGAAACTTTTTATGAGGTGAGGTCACTTCAAGTGACCTGGTGACCTGACCTTGAATGACCTTGGTCTGAAATTTTCACAACATGTGTAGAATTGATGTATGATAAGGTGTACCAAAAACGGCGGCGATCCGCGCCGCCGTTTTTGAGATATTCGCGAAAAACCACAAGGGGGGGTGTTCAAACACCCCCAGCAGGGCGCGGGTTAAAAGTGCTAGGCATTTAATTTCTGTATTAACGGATTCACATCAGCTCTCGGGTTGTGAGGAAATTCGTCCAAGGTCTTTTGGCTTCTGATGACCTCTGTTGACCTATCTTGGAAATGTACCCCGAATAGTTGAATGGTTTGTTACGGACGTGTGTATCCGCCGGCTAAACAGAACTTTTGTATCACTACGGACGCATCACCCGACCAAATCCCCCTCACCCTAGTCTACCATTAACCCACGAGCCGCTGGGGGATGCATAAAGTTGCCCCCCCCCTTACGTTCTGTGGAATATCTCTAAATTTAATGACCTCTTATTGTGCTCCAAGCGGCAAACGGGTCATATGACATGACGGGTGAAGACGCGCTATGCTCAATAGCTTCAATTGGCATATAACCTAGAAGACTGAAAATATTAAGTAATTAGGTACACTGCTACTAATCCACGGTTGCAAAACTAGTCGCTCCGACAACTAGCTAGAGAATTAGCTTCCACAAAGCCCGCTGCTACGGTTAAGAGCAATCTCTGTACACCATCAGCTGCGGCCAATCGAGCCACCACACATCGGGAGCCGTCCGGTAAATCGCTGCCGGCGAGTTACGATGTAGCATTCCCCGGGGCCGGCGGCGGCTCGGCCCGACATCGTGTACGTATACCGAGCGCCGAACACTATCGACCAGAAGCGCCGGCGTCGCGCGGTGAGGTCGAGTTTCAGATTCACCATCACGGCCATATAAAACCAGTCGACCCAAAATTACGCCCATTTCATCCAGATCAAGTCTAAGTGCGCCAAGCTACGCGCGAGTACCTGTGAATCTCTGGTGGTCCGCCGTTGTCCGCTGGTGGTGGCCCGGCGGGCTCTGCCGCGGGTGCCGACTGAGCTCCGAGCTGTGTGACAACTCCTTCCTCCGGGTGAGCCTCACGCGCAGAGGCGCTCCGAACACCGTCTGGCCAGTCCACTCGGCCCGCACACCGCACACGCTCCTGAGCCGGCGGCTCCGCTCGCGCCGCGCACTGCTCGGAGGCCGGGTCACCGCGCGCCGCACCGCACACACTCCCCGCCGCCACCGGCTCCGACTGAGCCTCGTCGGCGGCGACGCGCCGTCGGTGACCGGCCCGTCGGCCGCGACGAGGCCAGGGGCGTTCCCCGCCCCCGGCCCCGCCCGGCGGCGGGAGCCGCGCTGACTACCGCCGGGCGCGCCGCACTGCACCGTCCTTCCATGGAACTGGAAAGCACGCGTCACCGGCTCGCTCGGCGCCGCTCCAACATCCCCCGCGTGCCGATTTGGTTCCGGCAGTGGTATTCCCGGTTTTGAGTCATGCGGCGGCATTCCATTGAGGCTCACTCAGTCCCCTCCCCGGGACTGGCATGCCGGTGGGCGGTGTAGGACACATGAGTTGGAACGAAGGGGACCGTAGTGACAGAACTCGGCCTCATTCAGCTCCATAGGATTGTGGTTTCTTCAAAGGACACCAATTCGCCAACAATATCTATTATTTCAAGCACAATCTAAAAATATGCGCTTTGATGTCCAAAATAATATTCGTTTATTACCAACGAGTGAGCGCATGCCGAACAAAAGCCATCTGTGGCCCGTAAATAAAGAAAGCAATTGACAAAGGGACACAGTCTGCCTCAAGTTCACACCATAATGTTTTGTTGGCTTCAGATCACAGTCGCGGGTTTGAAAACGCACTACCTGGGTTCATGAGCAGGATTTCCCGCCCTGTTTTAGCATGCCGTCAAACACGAGAGCGTAACTATCAGGGCATCTCGCGAGAGTACCTATACAAAGGGTTCATTCGATTGAACTCCGCCCAATCTGACTCCGGCAGCCAAATACTCTATCCCAGGTCGTCAGATGGCTTCGTAACGTTGCAATGTGAAACACGTTGGTGCGAATAGTTACGGTGCAAATTGCAAACAATTGACACTTTGTGCATGTTGTCTAATGCCTGCTAAGTTTTTTTTTGACAGTTCCCGAAATTATATCACAGGCCCCTGCCCTTATTTATAGACGACTATAAGTTGCAGCCCCGTTGTAAACGATCTACGCTTAGAAAATAAGGCTTAGCTAACACTTTGATGATCTACGCCGCTTTTTCTGGTCGGTTCTTGGATTTGAAGGCCGACGACTGCGGACTATTCCGCCGTCAGGAAATTCATTGACCCTTGCTGTCTGAGGGGGTTGATGCCTCAACTTGACAATTTTCTAACGACTGCTCGGTACACGTTGGTGATAGAAAGCTGAATGCTTACATACCTGATATTTAATTCAATCTGGATCTTGGGGCACCTTGTGAATGGAAATATGTTGCATGCTCAGGTCAGGTCAAGTCAGTGACTTATCACGTCGTACTAAGTGCACGGTCCAAACATGTAGCAGCTTCGTAATGCCCTCTGTGCCAGAGAATCTGCCGCAATGAGATGCAACTAACTATACCTATGCTCAAACATTGAATGCTCCAAAAGCAGAAGCGAATTTGGATGTTTGCTCACAAATCCCAGTTGCAGTTACTTTAACCCGCGCACCGACGGGGGGGCGGATATCCGCCCCCCTGAGGTTTTTCGCAAATAGCGGGAAAACCGCGGCGCGTAGCGCCGCGAAATTTGGTATGACTATTCCCTCATCAATTTTACACATGGTGTGCAAGTTTGAACCTCCTACCTTTCAAGGTCACCAGGGCCTAGTTTCATAAAAGGAATTACTTACGGCGTTCCGTCAATTATGCCAGATTTGGCGTATTTGATGCCAATTCGGTTTCATAAAGCCGGAGACCAGAGTAATTCACGCCATCGAAATTACGGAGCTTCATTTACGGTAAATGCTCGAATCCGGACCAATCGATGCCATTTGGGTTTCATAAAACGACGTAATTAACGCCAAATATTTTATCAAGTTCTTGATATCAGTGGTGTAAACTACGCACAAAAATGTTGCGTGAATTGGAATTAATGTGAAGATTCGAATCTAATTTTTAATATATTTTATAATGTTGAGCCCGTTGAGGAAGAAAGAACAGCCAAAATGAGAAAAAGAAACTGCAAATCTTCTGTACCAGTCGCTTTTTGTGGCAGCTATCGGAATTTTGTTTATTCGCCGCGCCGCGCCACTTTCGTAGTAAGGCACTTCTGCTTAGCTGGCTTTCTGCTGTTTTCAATATATTGATTTAATAAAGTTTGGTCATCAATATCAATTTTGTTTTTTCATAAATAATTTTTAAGATTAGAATTCAACATAATTGTTTTATAATTTCTCGTAAAAAATAAGTGTTGACACGAAATTGTAATTTGTAGGACGCTTGATAAATTACGGCAACTACGCAAATGTGCTTAGTTACGGAGGTGTAAACAATTCCGTTTGTGGCTTTGTGAAACCGCTTCATTTGCGCTCCGTAGTTTGAAAGGGTGTGAATTACGGAAAGGTGTAAGTTACGGCAGAGTTTTATGAAACGAGGCCCAGGTCACTTTGAATGACCCAACCTCAAGTCACTTTTTTGCAACTTTGTCACCGTGCCAGAGCTACAGTAGATGTCGGAGGCCTTTGAAAGTCGCAGGATGTTATAAGGTCATTAGTAGCTACAATTTGTATATCTCGGAATTTTGATATCGGTGACCTAAGGTCAGGTCAATTTCGCGACCTCCCCATTATAAGTCAATGGGGAAAAAATCAACTCCCCGTTTTTACCACTAAAACGGGTCAGAATGGCCCCATATACCATACATGACTTCATATACGATCAACCTTCACTACCTTGAGGTCTGTTTTGCTGTTGGGCAGCTGTGAGGTCATGTGACGTCATCAAAGGTCACCAAAGGTTTTTGGCCAATAACTCCGTACAGGAACAAGATACAGACGCGTGGATGGTCTCATTGTGTTCAGCTCGTCAAGACGCATCGAATGATATACATGATGACCTCGAGGTCACGTGACCTGAGGTCAACCTTTGACCTTGACCTTTCGAGGTCAACATATATATCATTCGATGCGGATTGACGAGAGGATTACGATGATGCCCTTAGTTTGTTCCTATCTTGACTAATTCGAAAGTTATTCGAGAAAAACTCTCTCCATATCTAGCGCCGCCATTTTGAGTTTTTTCGACCCCTGTGACGTCATCTTTGACCTGACCTGAAAACGACTTTTGTAAAAATTGTAGATCTTGACCGTGCGTATCCGATGCCGTTTACCGCTTGTCGCTATCTTGCTTCGTTCTCGAGATCTCAGGGGGGGGCGGTCATCCGCCCCCCCCCCCCCCGTCGGTGCGAAGTTGGCGCAGACCCCCGTCGGTGCGCGGGTTAACTGAGCCTGCATCCTGCACTGCTGCAGGTGGCCGGTCCGGTCAGAGTAGTGTGTCGCCTGCCGTCCTGACGGCTCCCAGCTGTCCGCGATGGACCCGCCGAGAGAGACCCCCTGTGGAGTGACAGCTCCGTCAGCCGACGCCGAGATTAGCCGTGTTCCGTGACACGGTCAGGGTCTGGTGACCGAGGCTGGGGAGTCACGCGGGGCGCCGCCGACTGGAGTCAGGTGGCCCTACACCGCGGATTGTTGGTGCGTCAACGAGAGCCAGGTGGGAGTGGAATGAGGGTCTCGTGTCGGTGCATGATTGGACTCAACTTAGCAAGGCTTGCAAATGTATGCGGTCACAGTCCAGCGATCGGAGTTTCTTCGAGTGCGGAATTAAGTGAAACCATTTAGGTAAACAACAAATTAGGGCACAAATCAGGCCTCATGGCTCTATGTCTAGGGATGTTTGCTGTTTGGGATGCAGTCTGGGGCGCTGAGGGGCCATTTCTGCCGCTGCCGTATATACGCAGGTTATCGGAGGACCTGTCAGGAGCCGCCGGCGGAATGTGACCTGGGTCGTCGATAGATGGCACTGCTGTCACCGACCGCCGCCCGACGAGCGATGGTCCCCCCTCCCCCGGGTCACGTGAGCAGCGGTGATTGGGGGGGGGGAGATATGACAGGTGCCGGAGCGCGATCAATCACCCCTCGCGAGGGCCTCCCTCCAGTGACAGCAGCGGCCGCAGTCTGAGATCTTCATTAGTTTTTTTTTCAGCTTGAGTGCGATCCTTCGAAACAGAATCGTTGACTGCTTAGTTAGAGCCTTTCTGATATGCTCGAAAACTTTTGAAACATTCAGAGTCTCAAGTTTCCAAAAAGCTGGTTTGAAGAGATCTCAGAGGAATTACATGTATGATGCTGAAAGTGCTATTGCCTTTTTTAAATATGGATCAGTGAATACTGAATATGGATCAGCAAATTTGGTCACATCTTCCTTTGCACGTAATCATAACTTTTGGCAAAAGCCATCACACCTTTCTTATTTAATTTATCTGCTTGCCACACCATGGGCCGATGTTTAAAATTTCAACACCTGTGAAGGAGTAGCGACTTGCCCGATTGAGCAAGTGAAGCTTCCTGTTACGATTACGAGAACTAGCCCATTTAGAATATCATCGGTGCCGCAATTTACAATATGTAGAGAAAGGCATGCAGTTTAGCACGATAAATCAATAAACATCCATTTGCAAAGCCAATGGTACTCGAAGGATGTAAAAGTCCGGAGAATTTAACCTTTAATAAACATCAGAAACCTGACTTTGGCCCCACAAACATACGTTCACCATGATTTTTTGCGCTCTTTTCGAGTGTCGCTTGTCGTGCGTGGTCATGTGGCCCAGATACCGAATCGGCGAGGGGGGGGGGCGTGAGCACCACCACCACCACCACCACCGCAATGGGACGTTTAATACCATACTGGTGACTTTGAGCAGCTCGAAGACACATCAGGCATAAGCCAAGGGCACTTTTTTAAATTTTGCATCCCGGTTGCACTAAGGCATACCGGGGAGGGGAAGCTAATAGCTGGCAATGAGCCAGATCTTCCGTTTTACGTTACTTTACCACCGGCTATTCAAGACCGGCCCAAGGCTAGCGACTAAGGCAAATAGCTACGTTATACCGGCTCATGTGACGTCCGGTGGGAGGAAAGCTAGGGAGAGCCAGAAAGAAGGCCAGAGTGGCAAAGCCGAGATTTAAATGAATTTTAGTACTTACTTCTGATGTCTTGCAGCTGTATCTTCGTGTGTTGTTGTGTGGTGTTGTTTCATGGAGTGTTTGTTGTGTATGATTTCTACCAGGAAAAGTCCTAACTAGAAAAAACCTGGTGCCTAGCCAAGAGGGCAAAACCTGTGCGTTTTTGCCAAATTGCACAGGAAAAATCCCTTTAGAAGTAATTACTTTACGTTATATCACTAGAGTGTCACTGTTTTGTGGGTCTGTGAATGACTGAAAGGTAGCGGGTAGTACTGGTGATGCATCAGCCTCAATTGAAGCCAATGCCGCATCGGTGGGCCAGGAGGTCAAAATCGGTAGGGTTCCCCCGACGCCGCCGCCAGCACGCCCACCGGCGCCGACCGCCGCCGGACCCAGCCCCCGCCCCGCCCCTACCCCATCAGCTAACGCGGAAGGGCCAGGCGCGAGCCGGGCCGGCCCCAAGCAGCGACCGGCGCCGCCAAGCGCGCCGACAGCAACGCGAGCACGGCACATGGAAAGACAGATACCTATATGACGACAAAAAATCTTACAATTATGGAGTCGGCGTAAATCAACACAGGGCAAAACAAGCATACGAAAGTAGCCATTAGAGGTCAAAAGCTCAGCGGTGCTAGCTTCCAGGGACTCCGCCACCGGGTTGGGTGCCCCCAATAATTTCGCATCCGCAATGCCATCCAATGCATAAAGCGATACAATTTTGGTTCGGACCATCCAATCCTGAGAGTGTCCCCTGCTGGCGCTGAATGGTGTATCCCCAGTCTACATACGTTGCATCTTATCCTCGCTGCCCTGTGTTTTCTAGCGGATGCATCACCCGGTGCCAATTGAGCCGCGCTGTGGTACACCGGCTGTGTTGTCGGCCGCGGTGTCTCATAATGGAGCCGTCCTCCTTTGGCGGTCGGCGGTGGCTCTGCGACAAAGGGGCGCCGCGCCGGAGGCCGGTCGCTCGCGCCCGCCGCCGACGCACCTGTCAGTCGTGTCGCACCGCTCACCGCCCGGTTCCCATGTCAATCGACCTGCGGCGCCGACCGTGTGAGAGTGCCGACCGGCAGCGGCCGTCCGTCTGTCCCCGGACATAGCAACGTCTGCCCGTCTGTCCCCGGCCCTAGTAACGTCTGCCCGTCTGTCCACAGACATAGCACGTCTGCCCGTCTGTCCACGGACATAGCAGCGTCTGCCCGTCTGTCCACGGACATAGCAACGTCTACCCGTCTGTCCCCGGCCCTAGTAACGTCTGCCCGTCTGTCCACGGACATAGCAGCGTCTGCCCGTCTGTCCACGGACATAGCAACGTCTGCCCGTCTGTCCACGGGCATAGCATAGCAACGTCTGCCCGTCTATCCACGGACATAGTACTTAACCCGCGCACCGACGGGGGTCTGCGCCAACTTCGCACCGACGCACACAGCCGCTATCCGGGTTCAGAAGTGGCCAATACCCTAATTTTCGACAAATTTTAAAGCGTGATTTTCTCACATTTTCTGGTCGTAAATTGATCAGACTGTATAAAATCTCATCCAGAAAAAAATATTACTCATTCTGGCACAGATTGGTGGGCTCCCAAAGTACACCGTTTTGTTTTGCTCCGTGAGACCGAACTTGTGCTGCGATTTTCATGTAAATGTTGACGAGTCTCCTGTCATATTCTTTGCTTGAACATGCGTAAGTAAGATATCAGCTGAAAGGGGAAAATGTGCGGAATCCATTGGTAACAAAAGTGCATCTAAAAAACTTCCCACTCAGTTATTGTAAGCTAATTGTTGCACACTTGCACAAAGCAGAAGGGCTTGAGGATTTCAATATTTACATAGGCCTACCAAAAAACGCACAGCGTGCTTCACATCGAGACAACGTCCATAACATTTACCGTACAATTGTGATTCATTTGCTGAAAAAATTAGGTCGGCATCACACTGCCGGCAAAAGTTATTGCAGTTTTAGTGACGCTAGGTCGCCGCCCGGCCGACCCCGATCAGGTCGGCCGGGCGGCGGCCGTGCAGCTGACGTCCGTACGGTTCGGCAGCTGACCAATCAGCTGCGAGAGAGGAGCGCGGTCCGTCTAATCGCTCCCGGCAGTTGCTTGTGCTGAGGGGTGCTCGACGCTCGTGTCGATTGCATTTGTTGGTTGTCGATTGTCGATTGACTTGTGGGTATACTTTCTGGTGACCAATAAATGTACGTCGTCTTAACTGAATGTAGTCTGATCAAATTCAATAAAGCAAAAAGACATCCAGCCAACAGAACATCGTAAGAATGTCCGATACCTATGGTTGATAACATTCAGAGTTTTGGGGAGCAGCCATCGACCAGAATGAACCTTATTGGCTTTTGTATGTAACATTTGCATTGCTTTTGGAAAGTTTCAGTCAGATATCTTCAGAAATGGCAATGTTATCGGCTTTTGCATTTTACCGTAGTCGGTTAGTCACAATTTTCGATATTGCAAAGGTAATTTCAGTACGTTCTTGACATCGAAAACCAAAACGAATAGCATCATCGTGTTCCAGAGCTCAAATTGCATCCGATGCACATCTTTTTTGTTGAGAATGTTCAACTTTAAAATTTGGCCTTTCTGACCTCGCCGTGACCTTACCTTCATTTGTCGAATGGAAATAGTTTCGAATCGGACGACCCAGATGACATCATTTTTAGATGCATCTAAGATGCATCCATTTCGGCAAAAGCATGCTTTTGCCGAAATGGACCATTAAGGATGTGTCGCATGACCTTAAAAATGTATACATTTCCTTCCATGACCTTTTCCATGACCTTTTGTGACCCATGACCTTTCCATGACCTTTTGTGACAAAGTTAGGTTTCGTTTGTCAGCTATTCCTATCAGAAGCCGTTTGAACTTTTAGTATTGAACGAGTAGTTTCGAAGACAGCAGGGAAGCTATGCAGAATCCCCTCCCGAGTCACCCACGTTATGGGATCTATACCCGTCATCCGCGGATTACGAGCGAAAATATTTTTTACGGCAATGATGTATCAGCATGGATGCTCATACGTTCCCATATGTGACCTTACGGTTGACTTCACATACAATAAAAATTGCTTGGCAAAATGTCAACTGGTTAACGAGTTATCGCATTTTGGCCACTTCCGAACTCAAATAGCGGCTGTGTGCGACGCGACGGGGGGGGCGGATGACCGCCCCCCCCCCCCTGAGATCTCGAGAACGAAGCAAGATAGCGACAAGCGGTAAACGGCATCGGATACGCACGGACAAGGTCTACAATTTTTACAAAGGTCATTTTCAGGTCAGGTTAAAGATGACGTCACAGGGGTCGAAAAAGTCAAAATGGCGGCGCTAGATATGGAGAGTTTTTTCTCGAATAACTTTTGAACTAGTCAAGATAGGAACAAACTAAGGGCATCATCGTGATCCTCTCGTCAATCCGCATCGAATGCTATATATGTTGACCTCGAAAGGTCAAGGTCAAAGGTTGACCTCAGGTCACGTGACCTCGAGGTCATCATGTATATCATTCGATGCGTCTTGACGAGCTGAACACAATGAGACCATCCGCGCAGCTGTATCTTGTTCCTGTACGGAGTTATTGGCAAAAAACCTTTGGTGACCTTTGATGACGTCACATGACCTTACAGCTGCCCAACAGCAAAACAGACCTCAAGGTAGTGAAGGTTGATCGTATATGAAGTCATGTATGGTATATGGGGCCATTCCGACCCGTTTTAGTGGTAAAAGCAGGGAGTTGATTTTTCCCCCATTGACTCATAATGGGGAGGTCGCGAAATTGACCTGACCTTAGGTCACCGACATCAAAATTCTGAGATATACAACTTGTAGCTACTAATGACCTAATAACATCCTGCGACTTTCAAAGGCCTCCGACATCTACTGTAGCTCTGGCACGGTGACAAAGTTGCAAAAAAGTGACTTGAGGTTGGGTCATTCAAAGTGACCTGGTGACCTGACCTTAAAAGTTAGGAGGTTCAAAGTTGCACACCATGTGTAAAATTGATGAGACAATAGTCTTACCAAATTTTGCGGCGCTACACGCCGCGGTTTTCCCGCTAGCCGCGAAAAACCTCAGGGGGGGTGGATATCCGCCCCCCGTCGGTGCGCGGGTTAACGTATGTCCGTCTATTCACGGACGTGCTAATGTCTGGCCAGTGTCCACAGCCCAAATGACGTCTCTCCGTCTGTCTGTACACGGCCCTTATCACGTCTGTCCGTCTGTCCACACACAGAAAAATATTAACACCGTTAGCGGTGTAATTGCACAGTACATATCTGAGCACTTGAGGAAAGTTAATTTAGTCCCTTCCCCGCTTAAATTACTCGCGCTTCCAAATGAACACCAGGAAGAAGGTAATAGAACACTGTTAGGAGGGTTGGGTGTTTTGCTACATGTAGTAAAACACCCAACCCTCCTAACAGTGTTCTATTACCTTCTTCCTGGTGTTCATTTGGAAGCGCGAGTAATTTAAGCGGGGAAGGGACTAAATAAACTTTCCTCAAGTGCTCAGATATGTACTGTGCAATTACACCGCTAACGGTGTCAATATTTTTCTGTGTGCATAGCCCAAGTAGCCCCTGCTCATTTGGCCACGGCCAGGGGCGGATCCAGGAAAACTCCAAGGGGAGGGTCATGAATCGAAGTGGTGCCCCTACCTATACCCAAAATTAAAAACTCAACGGATTTCGTCCACTTCATTTTGGTGGTGCCCCCGTTTTCAGTTTTTTTTTTCTTTTTAATTTTTATTTTTAGTCAGTATCTTAACTTTTGCCACAACCACATTTACCAATTGTAAGCAAGTATATATGAATGTGCTATGTGTAGGGTAGACCGGGGCAAGTCGCCCCGCCGAGGTAAAACGCCTCACCGATGTCTCTCGGAACTGGCAAGGTTCTGGAGAAACGTCATCTCTTCTAATATAACGTGCACTATATGATCATTATATGAGCAGACTGGAAAGAAATTGTGATGAATCTTTAGGAAGATATAGCCAAAAATGTGTTTTTGGAGTGATTTTTATGTTTTGTTGTCAGCTTATGCATCATGGCGTTCTTTTATGGTCCACATCAGGTCAACGACTTTTATGTATTTTGAACAACTTTATCTAACGCTTATAATGCCGGCTTGGTTCGTGTTAAATTATGCCTTGCTGGAGTGCAAGGCGTTGTTCTCTGACCGAACTACGTGATGGGGTAAAACGCCCCAGTAGGTCGCGGGGCAAAACGCCCCATGGGGCGTTTTACCTCATGTGTTGTTCGGACCACCCACTTCCTAATGTTCGGTAGCTGGCTAACAGTAAGTTTCTATGCATTTATATGTACTTTTCTCAGCAACTGGATGGCAAAGGAAGTATTTTGTTAACATTTCCATTGCAATAATTTATTATTTGGCCTTATGAGGCAGGTGAAAAACCTGCTCATACAATAGTGTTTTAGCTGAACACCTGATAGGGTGGAAGGAGCTAACTTCAGTGCCGTGCTTCCCAAGGTCTAACAGACCTCTCATATAAGATTTAAGTCAACTAGCATGTTTAATCTTTAATCTAGAGTATGGGGCTTCTTGCCCCAGGCCGTGGGGCGTTTTGCCCTGGGGTTGGGGCAAAATGCCCCATTTGCAGTTGCTTCACAAATCACTTCCTAGCTCGGAGTCCGATCATCAGTGAATGAATTTTAGGGGTGGAATTTAAAGTAAAATGTCCAAAGAACGCATTGAGCACAAATTTAGCCTTCCAGGTGATGTGAGACAAAAGTTGTGTAGCAAAATAAATTATCTGGGGCGTCTTGCCCCAGGCTACCCTATATATGTTGTGGACGCTGAGTAGTGAGTACTTACCAGGAACGTTATCAGGTAAGCGAATCGTTGTCAGTCCGACGAACTTGACCCTGGCGTCTAAAGGGTCTGTCCTTGACACTTCAGGCTTGTCAGGGGCACCAAAGTCCTTCCAGGGACACCACAAACCTGTCAGGGGCACCTACGGCCTTGTAGGGGCGCCACAGGCCCGCCAGGAAGCAGGGGCACCACAGGTCTAGCAAGTATACACGACAGGCCTGTCAGGGGCACAACGGGCCTGTTGGGCCCATGAGCACCCCTAGGGGCAGGGGCACCACAGTCCTTCCAGGGGCACCGCAGGCCTGTGAGGGGCACCAGCGGCCTAGCAGGGGCACCAGTCAACACAGGCCTGCCAGGGGCACCACAGACCTGCCAGGGGCACCAGAGGCCTGCCAGGAGCACCACCGACCTTGCAGGGGTAATTTGGGCCTGTCAGGGGCACCACGGGCCTGTCGAGAGGCACTTCAGGCTTTTCAGGGGCACCATAGTCTTCGGCCGGGCGCAGGGGTAGCAGGGGCACCAGAGGCCTGCCAGGGGCACTACAGGCCTAGCAAGGGCACCACTGGTCTATCAGGGGCACCACGAGCCTGTCATAGCCAGGCATCTCAGGCTTGTCAAGGCCCAGGGGCACCACAGGTCTGTGAGGGGCACCAGCGACCTAGCAGGGGCACCAGTCAACACAGGTCTGCCAGGGGCGCCACAGACCTGCCAGGGGCACCACAGACCTGCCAGGGGCACCACAGACCTGCCAGGGGCACCAGAGGTCTGCCAGGGGCACCACCGGCCTCGCAGGGGCACCTTGGGCCTGTCAGGGGCACCACGGGCCTGCCGAGGGGCACTTCAGACTTTTCAGGGGCACCAGTCCTCTTAGGGCGCAGGGGTACCAGCGGCCTAGCAAGGGCACCAGAGGCCTGCCAGGGGCACCACAGGCCTAACAAGGGCACCACGGGCCTGTCAGGGGCACCTCAGGGTTGTCAGGGCCCAGGGACACCACAGTCCTTCCAAGGGCACCGCAAGCCTGTCAGGGGCACCAGAGGCCTGCCAGGGGCACCACAGGCCTGCCAGGGGCACCACAGGCCTGCCAGGGGCACCACAGGCCTGCCAGGGGCACCACAGGCCTGCCAGGGGCACCACAGACCTAGCAAGGCACCACTGGCCTGTCATGGCCGGGCACCTCAGGCTTGTCAGGGCCCAGGGGCACCACAGTCCTTCCAGGGGCATTACAAGCCTGTCAGGGGCACCAGAGGCCTAGCAAGGGCACCACAAGCCTACCATGGACACCACAGGCCTGCCAGGGGCACCACCGGCCTTGCAGGGGCGCCTCAGGCCTGTCAGGGGCACCACGTCCCTGCCGGGGACACTTCAGGCTTGTCAGGGGCGTGACAGTCCTGTCAGGGCCCAGGGGCACCAGGCCCGTGGTGTCCCTGCTAGGCCTGTGGTGCCCCTGGTGGTCCTGTGGTGCCCCTGTCAGGACTGTGATACCCCTGATAGGCCGGTGGTGCCCCTGGCAGGTCTTTGGGCCCCCGGGCCTCAAGGGGGGGGCCATGACCCATGTGACCCCCCCCCCCCCCCTTGGATCCGCCCCTGGCCACGGCCCCAGTAACGTTTGTACAATGTACATGGCCCTAGTAAGTTCTGCTTGTCTGTTGACGTTCCTAAAAACGTCCGCCCGTCTGCACACGGCCCTATACTAACGTCTATCCACGGTCCCAGTGATGTAGATATGTTCACGGCCCTAGTAACGTTTGTCCACGGCCCCAGTAACTCTGTACCCGACCCAGCTAAAGTCTGTCCATTCGTCCACGGCCTAAGTAACGTTAATCCACACAGCCCTACACGGCTCTGTATGTATATAGAAACGTCTACCCGTCTGTCCCGGCTTTAGTAACGTCTGCGCGTCTACTCACCGCCCTAGAAAACACCAACAGAAAAAAGTACTTGCAGGAAATCGATCTTCTTGAAATCAAAATGCCGAAGAAGATTAGAGTCAAAATAGAATACCATGGCATGAATAACTATTCTCGATTTCCACGTTAACCCGCGCCCCGCTGGGCTATTCAGCCATACGCGCCCTGCCGGGGGGGGGGGCAGATTCTGGTACCCCTGTCTAACTTCCGAACCGATGGTCGCACGGGGAAAACGGCAATCGAAAGCTCTCAAGAAGGCGGATCATGAGAGCACAAATTTCAAAGCCGACGGATTTCGCTCAAATTTTCAAGAAACGTCTTAAATTGATGTATGATAAGGTACTGAAAGTTTGACGTCGCTGGCGTAACGCGTTTAGAAGTTATTGACGAAAAACGGGAGGGGGCAGATTCTGCCCCCCCCCCCCCCAGCGGGGCGCGGGTTAACATGGCTATCCCAACGCATTTATGAGGAAAAGGAGGAAAAGTTGCTAAAAAATCGAAGAGAAATCATAAAACATATCGGTATGAAAGCCATAATAATGCCTACCTTCATCAAGATTACATCAGTAACATTCATTCTTGCGTGCCCTCGAGGACAAAACGTCACGTGCTCCAATTTTGATTGAGAGAAAACACGGCCTTGGAAAACACCACAACGAGGAGACATATCACATAGCAAGGACACATAGGGCCTTGCATAAAACGGTCAATTAGCTACCGAACAACACAGCTAAGCGTACTTGAGGATACTTTACCTTTTGGCATCCCTTGGAGCCCCCAGAAGTAACTTAAACTTGTTGCATTTTGTAAGTGTAACAATCAGTGTTTAAAGTAGTTTGAACCACAACACATTGTGGTTATCTATTTTTCTGCGATTCTCTCCGTGGCTGTAGGGCCTTAAACATACACCTCAGTCTCACAACTCTGGATTGTTTTATTGCTCCTCACCGCTAGCACCTAACATCGGCCTTGCATGATACCGTCACGTCGTCGTGAGAATTTCAAGAGCGCGGTGACCGTTTGAATTCGTTTCGCTGCCGAATTAAGACGGCAAGTGTCTTTGAGTATGGATCAGGTGGTCACGGAGCAGCCAGCAGCCCTGGGCGGGCCGGACGACCAGTCGCCATCGGATGCCGACCAGGAGCCTGCCGCTGCTGGTGCTGACGCCGCGCAGCAGAGCGTCATCAGCGGGTGTCCGCCCGGCCTGGAGCACTTGGCTGTGGCGCACAGAATCAAAATCAAACAGCAGGTGGAGCTCGCAGAAGTCCTGACCGGGTTGGAGACTGCCAACCACTATATCCTACTGAACGAGCAGAACCAGCAGATATACGCCGCCGCCGAGCAGAGCGACTGCCTGGCGCGCTGCTGCTGCGGCGCCAGCCGCGCCTTCGACATGCTGCTGATCGACAACCAGCGCATGGAGGTGGCGCGGTTCGTGCGCCACTACCGGTGCTGCGGTATGGGCTGGTGCAGCTGCTGGTCACGGTGCTGCCTGCAGCGGATGGACGTGACCCGCTCGGGCCAGCTGCTCGGCGTCGTCACGCAGGACCCGCGCCCCTGTTCGACCAGCATCAGCGTGCGCACGGCCGAGGGTAGCACAGCGCTGCGCGTGCGGCGCGGCTGCTGCCGGTGCACCGTCAGCGTGCCGTGCTGTACCTGCTGCTGCCCCGGCTGCCGGGAGGTGAGCTTCACCATCAGCGCCGAGGAGGACGGCAGACAGGTGGGCGTCGTCACCAAGAAGTGGTCCGGCGCCGCCCGCGAGCTGCTCACCGACGCCGACAGCTTCAGTCTAGAGCTGCAGCGCGACCTGGACGTGCGCGTGAAGCTGGGCGCGCTGGCCGCAGTGTTCCTCATCGACTTTATGTTTTTCGAGCAGAATGGCATGTCGCAGAAGGGCCGTTCTGGGCCGGGAAGCTGCTGCTGCTGCTGCTGCTGATGTACCGAGTTCTTATGTATTGGTCGATTTTCTGCAGTAGATTTGCTTAATTCGGAATATTTGCTCGATTGTTTGCTCATTCACTCGAGCGTTGACATTCGGCAGTGTTGTGCATGTTCGCAATATACCTATACAACATAATATGACAGTGACACATTTTTATGAACTTATTAATTAACCCGCGCCGGGGCGGGGGTGTTTGAACACCCCCCCGCGTTTTTTTTTCGCAGATATCTCAAAAACGCCGTTTTTGGCACACCTGTTCATGCATCTTTTCCACACATGTTGTGAAACTTTCAGACCCAGGGCTCTCAGTCAGGTCACCAGAGATCAGGTCAAGTGACCTCACCTCAGAAAAAGTTTCAATCCTCATCGCTACACCGACCAAACGATCGCCTTGAAACTTTCAGCGATTGATAAGAGTAACAATATGTATAAAATGTATCTCTCGTAATTTTGATATCGGTGACCTAAGGTCATGTCAATTTTGCGACCTCTCCATTATAAGTCAATGGGAGAAAATTGAAATGGGCCTCTTTTGGACGAATGATGTTCAAAACCCTCTCAAACATCGGTTCATAGGTAAAAATGACACACTGAATCGAAAAAATGCACCTGTGACCTCGCTGTGTGCCCTTGAGGTCATATCAGGTTTTGGTTTTGGGTGTTGTTTTTGTTGTTTTTACAGAAGATTCCTAATATTTTGATGCCCTCTTTATCCCTCGCCCTGGCAGGGCATTTTTCATAACACGGCCTGGCAGGGGGGTTACCTAGAAACACCAAATTTGGTAGGTAGGGTAGACCGGGGCAAGTCGCCCCGCCGAGGTAAAACGCCTCACCGATGTTTCTCGGAACTGGCAGAGTTCTGGGGAAACATCCTCTCTTCTATAAAACGTGCACTAGGGGAGAGTGGGGTGGGTTGTATCAGTTTTTACTCCGAGACCCATAACCTCGTAACTATCCGTGATAAACTCATTATTTCCATACTATCTCCTTCCTTGATTCTTCTGCTTTTTTGTGCAAAGTAACTTTTCCGCTACCTCTACCAGTTTTTCTTCTACGGTCTGCCGAATAGAACAATGTTTTTGATACAACTTGCCCCATGGCTTGGGTGAGTTGTATCACATGGTGGGGTAATTTGTATCACTAGGTATTTCACGTTTCAGGGAGTGTGCTTGCTACTGGTTTTGAACATAACAACAACATTAAATGGGGTTAATACAATATATATGCTCAAAGGCTTCACTTTTATTAGACCAGACTTAGGTCAATGCAATCCGAACGAAACATCGAAACGAACGAAACATCAACAGACTAAACGCAAAAGTGGCCCGTTAAGAGCAAAGAAGCCAACACATTGTGCCGAAATGGAACGAGCATTGACTAGCTACCTACAAACGCGAGCCAGGGCTTAGCTTTCGCGATCAAAAGCAACATACCTATACATACATACATGTTACAACATACCCCACCCGGCTCTGATACAACATGTACCTCGCCGCCATCTTGGAAAAAAACATCCTGGTGCTCAAAAACAGCGGACAGCTGGAGAAATCCATTTTCACTCATGCAGCCTTAGAACCTACCCTCACCACCGCTACGGAGATCTTTCAAATTAATGTACATCTAAATGCCCAAAACACACATTTTCTTGCAACTTATTTTTTTAGAATGACATTAAAAAAAAAACATAAAATCGGCTCTCACCTCGAGACGCGTCCACCCAGCCACACGACAGAACAGGGAAAGATGGCGCCCGGAAAACCTCGTCGTCTGGTCGTGTCACGAGCGTCATCTATTGGATAAGTTTGGCACAATTCGCCCTGATACAACTTGGACATGATACAACTCTCCCCGCTCTCCCCTATATGATCATTATATGAGCAGACTGGAAAGAAATTGTGATGACTCTTTCGGGACATATAGCCAAAAATGTGTTTTTTGAGTGATTTTTATGTTTTGTTGTCAGATTATGCATCATGGCGTTCTTTTATGGTCCACATCAGGTTAACGACTTTTATGTATTTTGAACAACTATTGTCTAACGCTTATCATGCCGGGTTGGTTCGTGTTAAATTATGTCTTGCTGGAGTGCAAAGCGTTGTTCTCTGACCGAACTACGTGATGGGGTAAAACGCCCCAGTAGGTCGCGGGGCAAAAAGCCCCATGGGGCGTTTTACCTCATGTGTTGTTCGGGCTACCCACTTTCTAATGTTCGGTAGCTGGCGAACAGTAAGTTTCTATGCCTTTATGTGTATTTTTCTCAGCAACTGGATGGCAAAGGAAGTATTCTGTAAACATTTGCATTGCAATAATTTATTATTTGGTCTTATGAAGCAGGTGAAAAACCTGCTCATACAATAGTGTCATAGCTGAACACCTGACAGGATGGAATGTGCTAACTTCAGAGCCGTGCCTCCAGAGGTCTAACGGACCTCTCACATAAGATTAACACGCGCACTGCAGCGGGTCTGAGCCGAACACGAACTGCAGGGGGGGGGGGGTTGAAAACAACCCCCCTGAGATCTCGAAAACGGCGCAACGTAGCGACAAGCGGTAAACGGCGTTGGATAGGTTAAGATGAGATCTACAAGAAATACTAAGATCATTTTTGGGTCAGGTCAAAAACGAGGTCACCAGAGGTCACCGAAGACAAAATGTTACGATTTTCACAACAGGAATTTCGCGGTAGTTTTTCTTGAATAACTTGTCTTGCACACAAGACAGAGGATCGATTCGAACGCCATCGTTCTTAGCTCGTCAAGGCGCATCGAATGATATATAATATGACCTCGAAAGGTCAAGTTGAAAAATTGACCTCAGGTCAAGGTCATGACCTGACCGAAATAGGTCATGTTGCATATCATTCGATCCGCATTGACGAGAAAAACACGATAAACGTCGAACGGAGTCTCTATCTCTATTCAATCTCAAGTTATTGAAGAAAAACCGCTGGTGACCTCAGGTGACCTAAGATGACCTGGAGATCACCTTCCAAAGGTCATAAGTGATATGTTTCGGTGAAATCACCAACAGGGACCTGTAATACTATGATCCTGAGCGTATTGAAGTCATAGGATGGCATTCAGAGTAAGTTGAAATTTCTCCCATTGACTTATAATGGGCCGGTCGCAAAAATGACCTGACCTTAGGTCATCGATATAAAAATTCCGAGATATACAAGTTGTAGCTCGTGATGACTTTACTATTTCCTGTGGGTTTCAAGATCATATCTCAACAACTGTGGGCTTGGTGGGATTGCAAACTTCGAAATTTACGTTTCGAGGTAGGGTCACTTGACCTGACCTGGTGACCTGACCATAGGTCACCTGGGGTCAAAATTTTTACTCAAGGTGTGCAAAAGTTGGGAGAACAGGTATGCAAAATTTAGCGGCGCTACGCGCCGCCGTTTTCTCGCGATTTGCGAAAAACCACAGGGGGGGGGGTTGAAAACAACCCCCCCCCTGCAGTGCGCGTGTTAAGCCAACTACCATGTTAAATCTGTAATGAGAGAGAGACAGTGGCGGCGGAAGGTAATTTTGGATGGGGGTGCAAAGTTTTCTCGAGGGGCCCCTCTGGAAGTTTGGGCCCCCCTTCATTTTTTTAGTGATTATTATTGAATTATGGAAAACGAAGATTTTGGAAAACTATCCCCATACACACAAGTTCTGCAAAATGTTTGAAATTGCAGTGTACCTACCTATCTCAAATAATGAAAGCATAAAGAAGCAAATGCAGCTAGTTTTTATCGGCTAATCTTTTAGTCTACCCACCACCCGCAGCGTCTCAAACCACTTTTCTGGATCCGCAGTGGACCATTGAGGGCCCTACGAGACCGTTCCAAGAATTGACCGTGTTTAGAAGCCCCTTGGAAACCGACCACATAGAGACTCCTCCAGAGACCTACATGACTCCCCAGACTGAATGAGCCCTCCGATCAGGGTCGGTCCCTTAAAAGTTGCTGAAAGGTTTCAGAAGACAGTATAGGCTCGAAAGTCTTTTGAGGGCTCTCAGAAACCGGCATCGGACCCCAAAAAAGCCTGTATGGAGGCCCTCCAAAGCCGGGATGGAGGCCACATGAGCCAATGTTTAGCCTAAAGAGCCGGTATGGAGAACTGAATAGAGGAAAGGGGTCTCAGTGGGGCCTTCAGGGGCAAGCGTTTGAGCCTCAAAAGTATGCGTGGGGTCTTACAGGCAGGTAGACCCCTCGAGTATGCACGGGGTCCCAGGAGCTCGCGTGTGAGCCCAAATATTCGGCTGGCGGCTACTAGAACCAGCATGGGGATTCTTAGAAGCCGCTTAGACCCACATTTCACGGGTCATGAGTCCCAAGAGTCGATGTAGGGGCCATAAAAGCCGGTGTAGGGCCCATCAAGATTACTTTACTACGGGGCCCATCAGGGCTGCGGAGTCGGAGTCGGAGTCGGAGTCGGAGTCGGTCGGAGTCGACAGTTGTGACCGGAGTCGGAGTCGGAGTCGGAGTCGATTTTAGAAACCCGAGCCGGAGTCGGAGTCGGAGTCACCAAAAATCTGTCGACTCCGCAGCCCTGCTAGGTCTGCGGAGTCGGAGTCGGGAGTTGGAGTCGGTCGGAGTCGACAATGCTGCCCGGAGTCGGAGTCGGAGTCGGAGCTGGTTTTTGAAAGGTGGAGTCGGAGTCGGAGTCGGAGTCGCCGAAAATCCATCGACTCCGCAGCCCTGGGGCCCATAGCCCCATAAGTTCCGACATTGAGACTCTCAGAGGCCGGCGACGGGGCACCAAGAGCAGATAAAGTGCCTCAACAAGCCGACATGGGGACTGAGAATCAGTGTGGAATTCCAGGAGCCTGCGTGAGCTCTCAGAGACCTTCGTATTTCGTAAGGTCCACAAAGGTCGTTGGGTCCTCTGAATCTGAACTCTGCGGGGCCCTCAGAGGCTAGCATGTCACCTGGCACCTGCCTGCGTTGAGTTGAGACCCTCCGAGGCCGTCGTAGGGTTCTTCAGAGGCCAGCGTTGGCCCTTGAAGCCTTCGTTAGGCCCTAGAAGCCGTCAAGAGGGCTCTCAGAAGTCAGAGGTCAGCATGGCCCCTAGAGCCTGCCTGCATCGAGGCCCTCAGAGGCCGTCGTGGGGCCCTCAGACGCCAGCGTGGGCCTTTGGAGCTTG